GAAAGAGAAATACTGATGCTGTCCAGTGAACGTTCTAGAGAATACTGTGGGAACAGGAACTATTTACTCAGTGAAGGAATCACTGACTCACTGGCTCCCCAGAATGCTCTTTGAGGTACACAGAGGACATAGATCTGAACTTGACAGTTGAGAAAATAAAGGCCCAGAGTGTTGAGTAACAGCTCCAGGTCAGCCAACCCCTAGGCAGGAGTGTAGGACTGGTTCTTATTTCAAATCCCAGCTACAGGATTTGATTCTCCACCCACTGATGCTGCAGAAAGTTTAAACAATCAGATTGATTATTGGTGTGGCTGAAACTTAATTATACACTTTACAAACAGGATGGACAGGTCTCCAGGTGACACCTGGCGAGGCAGTGTTTTACTGTACTTCGTACTGATGCAGAGAGCACGCGGGCCAGCGCGCCCTGCTGTGGCGAACCCACCACGGTGATGGGGTAGTTGTAGAAAGAACAAGACTGGGTTAGAAATGATCGAGATGGTTCCGCTTAGAAAAACAAGCAAGTCACTCTGAATTTAAATTAAATGAACCCGGTACTTTTGTGATAAAGAAACAGAAAGACGTCTGTGCTTGTTACTTAATACATCTGGCTCTAGGCATTTGGGAATTCCGATAGTTACCAAAAAATCAGTTAACTGAAGGCTGAGAACCCTACCTCCTCACTCTGAAATGCCCCGGGGTGATGGTAAGACTTCCTCAGCCGGTTCTAACGCAGAAACATGCATCTGGAAAGGCGTTTACCCACCACACGTATGACACCTTCGCCAGCACCTGTCCTACCCTCTCCTCTCTGACTGGCTCTCGCCTTCCCAGGCGAAATACTTGCCAGAGGGGACAAGTCAGTCATGAGTCAACTTTCATCAGCCACTGACCCACTGTCTGCTTCTTTGTGAAGAACAGACATTTTCCTTGAAGTATGGAATGAACAATACAATCCTAGAAGATATACAAGTTTGCGTGTTTTCTTTTTAAAGGAAAAATCCATCAGTTTTAAGCTCAAATATCCTGTATTTCAGGTTCAGTTGAGTTCCCTGTTTTCACATTTCCTAAGAGTGTGCAGGGACATATTTGGGCAGAAAGGGAGGATTTTTCATACCCTGAATTTTTGTGGTTTGTAACTCAGAATTTTAAAATTTTATCTTAATTTGCATCATACATTAGGGCATTATTGTTAATAAACGGGGAGAGTCAGAGTGCTTACCAGTCTCTGAAGACTAACCATTTGCCAGTGGACTCGTAGGTGGAGCATAGGGCTGTGGGTTTGCAGTCATGTAGGGTCTTTTTCTATCCAAACGGTGATCCAAGAACATCTCTTATCCTTTATCATTATGCTCACACTAACAACTACCAGTTATTGAGTGATGGCTGTGTATTGGGCACAGCACTAAATATAACCTCATTTAATCCTCATAACCAGCCTATGCATCTGGTGGCATTGCCATTGTGCAGATGAGGAAACTGTGTTTAAAGAGAGATTAAACATGCCCAAAGTTACCCAGTAAATAGACAACAGAGACAAGCCTTGGATTGCTTCCCAAACTCTTCCCTTCATCATTCTACTACAGGATTGAAAGCAACTTGGCCCCATGACTGGCAAAAGTCTTACAGTCTAAACACATGAAGGGTACAAGCTGGATGTTCTGGGAGGGGAGACAAACACAGGTCCCCAACATTCACAGGCTATAATTGATAGACATTATGTGGAAAGGACTCAAGGACTCAGCCTGCGGATCTTGGAACAACCCTTTTTCAAAACAGCCTTTTAGCATCAGTCAGTCTCTCTTATTATTGGCAAATCTTCCTCCTTCTGGCCTGTTGTCAGGCCCTATAATTATAACCCAGCAAGCATGTGGTTCAAGAGGCTGAGCATGTTGAAGGCCTCCCATTCCAGCCTTTGTTTCATTTGAGTTTGCCAAGCTGACCTTCATTCGTGCCTGGCTATTGGCAACTTGCTACGTGCGCAGGTCCATGCAAACAGCTGAAGCATGATCGTCCTGTTATAGGTCTGCTCTCACAGCCCTTTAAAGGATGCATTTTTTTTTTTCATTTGTGCAAACTGGGCCAGAACAGGGTCTTCTAAAACATCCCCCCTTCAATAAACCCTTAAATTGTTTGGCTGTGGAAAAATAAAGATACGAAGCAAGTCCCATGGTCAGATTTAACAGAAGAAGAAAGGAGGAGACCAACAACAGCATGGAGTGGACGTGGGCTTAAATAACCAAGACGGGAGGCAAGACAGTGATTGCACACCAGAAGGCCCGTCTAGGGTGGAGCTGAATTGCACGTCTTGTAAATGAAACAGGAAAACGCTGCAAATTGAGAAAAGGAAGTGGCTTATGACCCTCGTCTTGACTCTGGAGTGAATAAGCACACCTGATTATGATCAATGGTAAACAATATTTACCAATTTCTACGCAACTGTGAGAGGCAAGCAAGGCCTGCAGATCACGAGCAGCGGAGCAGACGGACGGCGCTGTCCGCACCTTCTGCCGGTTACCCTGGGGCCTGGCCGCGTTCAGTGGGACCACGCGCAGTCGGCGCGAGTCTGTTTCATCAAGGCACACTAGCTACGACACTGCTTGGGAGCCAACGAAAGTTGTACCTTACATGCAAGATTCAGAAAACCAGCAAGACTCCTGAATGTTATTTCTTCAGGTGAAATTAAGGGGAGAAATAAATGACCCAAAGATGTTAACATGACTGAGATCTACCTTAAGAAAACATGCCCTGGCCCGTTTGGCTCAGGGGTTAGAGCGTCGGCCCATGGATCAGAGAGTCCAGGGTTCGGTTCCCACTAAGGGCACGTACCTCAGTTGCAGTTTGTCCCTGACTCCAGTTGGGGTCGTGTGGGTGGCAACCACTCGATGTGTCTCTCTCACGTCGATGTTTTTCTCTATTCTCCTCTCTCCCTCCAATTCTTTCTGAAGATAAATGCAAAAAAAAAAAAAAAAAAAAAAACAGTCCTCCGGTGAGGATAAAAAAATATAAATAAATAAATAAATACATAGATAGATAGATAGAAAGAAAGAAAACATGATAGGCCATAATTGGATCCTATAAAATAGATAAACTTGGGGTTGGTTGTTTTCTTGGCTGGGATTCAGCTCCCGCCCAGCCCCCAATGGAAACACCACAATAGGCATCTACAGGGAGTTGGTTAACTACATCACATGTCTCCTCATAACGAGATACTAGGCAGCTTTGCAAAGAGTGAAAAGAGACCTGTTTATAAGTGACCTGAAGAAACAAGACAGGGTATGGAGCAGTGGACATAATCAGGTTTCTTTTTCTCTGTAAAAACTCAGTATATACACTGCAAAGGCTGCACAAACCATTTCATACGCTCTCATGACACTGGCCACCACGGGGAACACGGGGACTCAAGGATGACCTCCTGCCCTCACTGACCTGCTTCTGTAGTATTTACTTTTTCTGGTTTCTTTTACAGTGAATATTTATAACTTTTGGTAAAAAATTAAAAAAGTAACTGTACATAAAGATGATTTTGAAAAAATTATGCAGCCTTCATTTCTAATTTGGTCTTAGAAGCAAATTTTCAAGTATTCCTTACTTAAATCGATCTTGGTCACAGGGCTTACAGAGACAAAATTCTATTTCCTGATCACATACACACTGTCTTACTGTCCTTCCCTCAGATGGATCTAGGTTGTAAAATAAGACTTTAACGTTTTTATTGAGCCCTGGACGGTTTGGCTCAATGACTGGAGTATCGGCCCACGGACCAAAAAGTCTTGGGTTCGATTTTGGTCAAGGGCACATACCTTAGTTGTAGTTTGGTCCTCGCCCTGGTTGGGGTCATGTGGGAGGCAACCAATGGATGTGTCTCTCTCACATCGATGTTTCTCTCTCTCTCTCTCTCTCTCCCCCTGCCTCCCACTCTATCTGAAGATAAATGGAAAAATATCCTCAGGTCAGGATTTAAAAGATATATATTTTTATTGATAATTTGGGTTAAGCCTCAACGCCCAACTAATCTGATCAGAGAGCTGGCCAGGCAGTAGAGGAGGCTGTGGTGGCCACCGCCCACCCTTGGTGTTGTCTGCGTCAGCTCCGCCACCACAAAGCGGGGAGGAAGGGAAGCTTCATTTGCTCTCTTAACTCAGAGGAAGGTTGTGAGCACTGGCTGAAGCTGAAAAGACACTTGATGAGGAGCCTGTGGTGTGATTATAAGAGCCTAACTTTACAAAGAATGTGGCTGTTTTTCTAAAACACAATGCAAGGGACAGACTAACATGACAGAAGACACTGAATGCTGTGGCGTTGGGGGTGACAACGCGGGCAGCCTGGCCGTGGTCTGCTATCGCAGGCCATGTTTCACCGCCGTGACCCCTCGAGGGCAGCCGGATGGCTATCCCAGGGGACTCCTCAGATCTTTCCAAGCAAGAACGCACTGTGCGCTTATGCTTGGGTTGAGAGAAACAACTTCATAATCAAATTTCTAATGGAAAATAACGTAACTTATTAGCTCTGGAAAATCCAAACCCAATAGAGTGTGACCCTTTACTAAATAGCACATGGCTTATTTTTCTTTACAGAAAGCAGACATGTTTACCGTGGAAAATTGTGAAACAAAGATAAGCAAATATAGCAAGGGCAGAAAACAGACTACTCATAACTGTACTACTGAGCGGTCCTGGCCCCTGACATTCTGGCTTATGTCTTTACAATTCACCTCTCTGTTTACCCACATAATTATATATGTATCTGTATGTTTATTTGTATACGTAAAGCTTATAAAAGAAATATCATCCTGTTCATACTAACATAAGACAGAAACCTCCTAGATGCACTTGTGAACTATGCTGTGATGAGCGCTCGTCCCTGCACGCTCGCGCTGACCCGGGCCCTCCCGGAGCCCGCGGCTTCACTCGCCAAACGTTCTTCGCCCCTGAAAGCAACGTTCCCAGCCCCAGAACAGCTCAAGGTCCTCCTAAGTATCTGAAGTGATTCGCACTTACTTCCCGAGGTTTCACCTTATCTTGTAAGTCATACTGGCCAATTCCTTTATAGCTGATCCCAAGCCACCAAGGGAGTCCTTGTTTATCCTGGAAGATGGAAGAGCGTGAGAACCCAGACCTAATTGTAAAGTCTTACAGGGCTAATGTGATGTTCAGTAGTTTCATCCCTTAACAAGTATAAACAAGTCAAAATAAAGCTGTCTTGGTAAACAAAACAGTACTTAAAAACCTAAGTTGTTATTAAAATGCCTTCTTAGAGTTTCTTCAAGTAAGATCTTTAGGTCAAAACAGACCAATACTATTAAAACCAAAAAAAGAATTAAACATTACTGTTTTAATTAAACAGTTGGAGAAAAAATAAAATGTAAGTAATTCAACGAAGAATTAATCCAAAGTACAAAGCCATTTAGCTACTAAAAAAGAAAAGAAAGCAAAAGACAAAAGGCTCTTTGTTCTCTTGATTAGTAACCAGCTATAAAGGTTGGGGAAGTTTCCAAAGAATTACAAAGAAGGAAAAGGTGCCACCAAATGCTGGTGTTTACAGGGCTCCTAACAGTGAGCACGCATCCTGAAAAACAGCGTGTTTGAATAATGCCTGTGAGGTATGTATGGGGAGAGAAGAAATTTGTTTTTATAAATTTATCTCTCAGGTCTTGAAAAGCAAAGGAAGTATTGACCTAGGGAAAGAAAAACTTAGGCCGAAACATATTCTTATTTGCAAACAAACTAAGCATTAATGTCCCAGGCATTACTCAAACACAGTTTTTTAGGGTGCCCATGCTCACTGTTAGGCGCACTGTAAACATCAGCATTTGGAGGCACCTTTTATATCTTTGTAATTCTTTGGAAACTTCCCCAACCTTTATAGCTGGCTATTAGAAATTAAAGCTGCATTAGTACACATTTTTTGTACAGGGTGTCTCCATTATGCAGATATAATTTATTATCCAGTCCCCCACCATTTTGAACTGTAAACATTGTTGGAATTTGAAAAGTCACTCAAGATTGTTCAATTATAAAACTATTCCTCTTTCAAGCAACACTCCCTTCTTAACCTGCTCTATCCCTTATCATTTCACAATATCTCTTAGTCAATATCTCCCTGCTTATAACATCTGAAAACATTATACAAACACAAAGCATACCAACTAAAAATTGGTATTGCAGATCCTGCAAGAATGTGAGAGTTTTATGAAATGAAGCTACTGAAATGACTTTGGAGAGTCCATGGTTCTTATACGAAGGCACTATCGAATGAATATCTGGTAGCATTAGAAAGGTAAACAATTGGAAAAGAGAAAAATAAGTAAGAATAGCTAGCAGAACAGGTGTGCCAAAGAGAATGCTCTGAGTATCCTAGGACTCACAGAGGTTTTAGGAACACATCTGAACATAGCAAGCATTTGGCAAAAAATATGGTTTATAATTTGCTAAAAATGATAAGATATAATTAAGCTTTTTTTTTTTTTTAAGAAAATCAATCTTATTCTTAATGCTCAAATTTCTAGAGACAATTTACATAGATGTGCATATTGATTTATATGATTCTAGAAAGTTGGTGTTGTTCACTAACTCTCACAGAAAAACATGAGCATTATGAAACTGCCATGTAAAAGTGTTTACCTTTACTGCATAATAATGCACTCCGTAAGTCGGGAGAGCTTCTACTATTTTCATATACCTGTGGAAAATAAATAAATATTATAGCCTTTTATTAAAATAGAGGGCCCTTTTGGGAAAAGTGATAGAAAGAAATACAATTTGTATCTACTTTCCTCATTATAACCATGTTTTTGACTAAAGTAGAAATAAAATAAATTATTCTAGGGAATAATATATATCACTTCATCCAAATGTTAAGAGGTTACTAAGAAAACTTCAATTTCAAAAAGTTATAGGAAATGTTATTTTGTACATATTAAGATTTCTATGGCTTAAAAAATATTGTACTGTATTATATACTCAAATTGCAAGTATTTTTTAAACCAAGCACCTAATAATGCAACGCAATAAGAATCAACGTTTGTGCCATTCTCGTAAGTAAAAAATAAAGCTATTTCATGTATTGACTGTGGTAAACTCTTAGAAATATATACTCAACTCCTAAGTCAAAATTCTTAGAAATATACACTTAAAAAAGGTGAAGTTTATTGTATAAAAACTTGATTTTAAAAAATATGTCCACTTCCCGACAAAAAATAAATGGAAGCAATGGTGCCAACATTCTCTATTTTTAATTCAATAAGTATTTACTGTGCACCTCTAAGACTGCCTCTCTGCCTACAAGGACTTGAGGTTCCTGTTTGATATAAGTGCACTTATTAATGGTATTTGAAGAATAATTGCTCTGGACTTTGTAATCAATAGTTTGGTAATTTTCAAAAGCAAACAGCCGTCATGTAAATAAATACAAGAGGTTAGGTAAATACGCCACAGTCATGCAGTGATCACACTGTACAGCCAGGATTCTAGCACACTTAGCAGAATTTCATAGTTTAGACTCTAGAGTCTTAACTACCAAGTTAGACAGTCTCTTATTTGGAGCCACAGTGACAATTATCAGGAGAAACAAAAAGACTGCATTTAAGCAAGGATACTATAATACAGTCATTAGCCTAACCCAAAATCCTTCAGGGAAACGGTTACTCCTGTATTTATTTATTTATTTCATTTCAGAAAATAGGCACAGTGAATTACAATGTCACAGATTCAACTTCAGGACTGTGACCTTCTGATTTCTACCCTGAAGACCATAGAAGGTGTGTTACGATAAAAAGGAGATAGTGTGGCCCTAGTCAAGTAGCAAGTTAGAGTGTTGTCCGATATGCCAAGGTTGAGGGTTCAATCCCCAGTCAGGGCACATACGAGAATCAACCAAAGAATGCATAAATAAGTAGAACAACAAATCAATGTTTCTCTCTCTCAAATCAATAAACAAACAAACAAACAAACAAACAAAAACAAAGGAGATCAGTGCATGCTGCAGAGATATAGGGCGCGATCTAGACACTGGCGGGGGAGAGTGGTCTCCCAGGCTTTACTTCGGTTCTTACATGCTCTGAGCTATATTCTGTAGTTTAAAAAAACACAAACTTGCCCTGGCCGGTTTGGCTCAGCGGCTGGAGCGTCGGCCTGTGGACCAGAGAGTCCTGGGTTCAGTTCCTGCTAGGGGCACGTACTTAAAAAAAAAGCAAAAACAAACAAACAAACAAACAAACAAACAAACAAACACAAACTTCACCGTGGCTGGTTTGGCTCAGCGGTTAGAGCATCAGCCTGTAGTCCAGAGAGACCCGGGTTCGGTTCCCGCTAAGGGCACGTACCTCGGTTGCAGTTTGTCCCCGGCCCTGGCTGGGTCGTGCGGGAGGCAGCCACTCGATGTGTCCCTTCACATCGATGTTTCTCTCTCTCTTCCTCTCTCTCCCTCCTACTCTATCTGAACAAAAAATGGAGAAATGGCCTCGGGTGAGGATAAAAAACAAAAACACAAAAACAACAATAAAAAACCCATAAACTTCAGTGACCATAAAAGTTATTCTACAATTACTATAGCAACAATGCAACATTAGTTTTTATCATAAAATTATAAATTTAGTTTTTATAATTTAAAAATTTTAATGTAACTTGGAACTTTTTTTTTCAATCCTTACCCGAGGATATTTTTCTATTTTTGTTTAGAGTGGGAGGGAGAGAGAGAAAAACATCAGCGTGAGAAGGACACATCAACTGGTTGCTCCTTGCATGACCCTAACCAGGGCCAGAGGTGAAACACAACTGAAGTATGTGTCCTTGACGGGAATCGAACCCGCAACTCATTGATCTGCGGGTCGACGCTCTAACCGCTGAGCCAAACAGGCCAGAGCAACTTGGAACTTTTTTTCTTTTTAAGAGAGAAACATTGATTTGTTGTTCCACCTACCCATTGATTGATTCTTGTATTTACTGGGACTGGGGATTGAACCTTCAACCCAGGCCTATTGGGACAGTGCCCTAACAATGAGCTGTCTGGCCAGGGCGGCTTGGGAACTATTCTTAGAAGTGGATGGTAACTCTGAGAGTGGAAAATGCAGTAATACATCAGTATGGCCTTTCTTGGTAGCATGAAGAAGCAGATTATTCATCACCAACACTGTGTCCCACCCAAAGTAGGGCCACAAGCCTGGCAACCAAACATGGCCTCCAGACAGGTTTTGTATGGCTCATATTGTATTAAAATTTTCATAAAATTACTTTTCAATGTTTAAAATGAGATTTAAAAGTCAGAAATTTCAGCTTTTCTTAGAAAATATCAGAAGATCTGGTAATGTTATCCCTGAATTCTGAAGCTGAACAGCTTTGCCTGTACTCCAGTTCACCACAGTCCCTACTAGTCCCCGTTGCCCCACACTTGGCCTACAGTTATTTTTGTTACCTGCCCGATACTGATGGCATTTGAATCAATGACACAAATATATGGCATGAGCCAAGACATTTTATAATTCACGGTAAGATATTTCTAATTGGATAAGGGCTATGTACATACAAAGCATACAACAGCGATCATTTCAGAGGACTTCTGCAAACAGAAGACATTAAATTATATCTAAGCAAAAGGAAGAAAGATACTTACTGAACCACAGCTTGACCCCGAGTCAGACCTCTGATTTTCAAATAATGCTCAATTGCCCTGTCCTCACTGTAAAACAAGGACACGAAAGCACAGGTTACATGAGAGACAGACTTGTACGAATTCTGGGGTGGCTCCGTGGGAGCAAAGCCTCTGCTGACTTGTCAGGAGAGAGAAGCTGACATTTCTTCTGCACGAGGTGGCTTCCTGGAGGGTTCAAACCTCAGACACTTACCTGCCTTGTCATGATATTCTGACTGATATTTTACGTAATGTATTTATATAATGTATAGTAAGTAATATTTCAAAAACTTAATTTACTAGAAAAAGAAATGTAGCATCTACTTGTCAAATGAAAAACTAATACCTGTTGTCATAATTGAATGAAATACAAAGTAATGTCAGTAAAGAGAGATCAACAATGTTAGGTATTAAAGACAGCTTCCTTAAATTACTCAGGAAGATGTAGAAAGAATTAAAACTGCTTCTGAGTCTGTGTTCAATCTAAAACACTCTATTGTTACTACTTGGGGACACACGGTTTTGGGAGAAAACCCTTCATTATTGTCCTACGACAAAATGTTGACTGAAAAGGGGAAGGACAGACTGAAGCCCAGCAGCCTTGGGCATCATTCAGCTATTACACCCGGCTGTCAGACAGGTAGTTTAAAAAAACACAATGTAGCTTTTTCAGCCACATTTCAAGTATAAGCTAGAAGACTAAATGTTCTTATCTTTATATGTATCTGGTAATCAGCAGCAATCGGTTCCCTTCTTTTTGTTTGTTTGTTAAGAAGCTATTACTTAATGTTGATTTGTTACAGTGGTTCGCAATCTTCCTAATGCCGCGACCCTTTAATACGGTTCCTCATGTTGTGGTGACCCCCAACCATAAAATTATTTTTGTCGCCACTTCATAACCGTAATTTTGCTACTGTTGTGTCTTAGGCGACCCCTGTGAGAGGGTCATTCGACCCCCAAAGGGATCACGACCCACAGGTCGAGAACCGCTGGTTTAGAAGGTTCCAGACTCAGGATGCAAGGTAGCCTCAGTATGCACTTTTGTTGCTCACTTGGAAAATGCGTCCCAATTTTCATAATAAAGCCATTAATGTTGAATATTTATTTTGTAATCAATTTTTTTAAAAATCCTCAACCAAGGACATTCTAGCATTCATCTTCAGATAGAGAGGGAGGGACAGAAGGAGGAAGGGAGAGAGAGTAACATCGATGTGAGAGACATGAGTGATTGTCACCCACACGACCCCAACCGGGGCCAGGGACAAACTGCAACTGAGGTACGTGCCCTTAGTGGGAACCGAACCTGGGACTCTCTGGTCCGTGGGCTGACGCTCTAATCGCTGAGCCACACCGGCCAGGGCTGTAATCAGTTTTTTAGTGGAAAGAAAAAACCACCTTCAATATTTGGAGACTTCAACCAAGAATAATATATTTAAAGGAAATGAATATAAGTAATGCAAAGGGGAAAAAATGTACTTTTCTAGAAAAAAAAGTTATATGAAAAATGGGTACTATGGAAGCATTAAAATACTAACAAAATAATTCAAAACATACACCGATTTCTGGCCACAAAGGAAACCGCTGGTCATTGAAGTCATTTCTGGTTATTAAGAAAAGCTCTGCCCACGGAACTCTGCATTTCATGCCACCGGCACTGCCCCGGGCCAGCTCCGGCGCGCTTCCCAGGGAGCGCACGGCACGCGCGGGCACCGCGTGCTCGGAGGCACACCCCACGGGCCTTCCCTCCTCCAGGAGGGGGCGCCCAGCCGCTGCTCCTGACACACGACTCCCGTCTGGGCACGCGGTTTCCAGGGAACTCGGAGAAGATCCTCTCACGGAAAGGATCACAGTCTACTTACGGTTACTCTGACACATTTGATGGGCAATTTGATATTGTCTTCACTTATGTTTCCTTTAATGTCCTGGAAAGCAACCTTTCTCAGTGGAGGCTGTGATAATGGGGTCACCGGCTGTCCTGCTTTGGCTTACCAGTAAGCAAGTGATGGATGTTCCTGAAGAGTTTTGGTTGGAAAGGCTGGCAGTGTCTTTAAATCTTTCCTGGCATTTTCATCACTGGAAAGAAGAGTAATACAGTAATGTCACTCACTGGTACCTACAATATTACCCCAGCTAGTAACTAGAGGAAATCTGCAAAGCTGCGTCAGCACATGGGGCTCTATCAAAACGCTGCCCGCACAGGAGGCTCTGGTCTCTAACGAGAGCTAGCACCTGCCCCTAATTTGACAACCCCCAAGTCATTTGATATTTTAAAGTTTAAACAGTCGAAAAAAATTAAAATAATCATATTAGCCCTGGCTGGTTTGGCTCAGCGGTTACAGCATCGGCCCGCGGACCAGAGAGTCCCAGGTTTGGTTCTCGCTAAGGGCACGTACCTCGGTTGCAGTTTGTCCCCGGCCCTGGTTGGGGTTGTATGGGTGGCACCCACTCCATGTGTCTCTCTCACATCCATGTTTCTCTCTCTCTTTTTCTCCCTCTCTCCCTCCTGCTCTATCTCAAGATAAATGCAAAGAAATCTCCTAGGGTGAGGATAAAATAATAATAATAATAATTATATTAAACTACTTTAACCCCATTTTTCTTATTCTCTTAATAAACTTGCAGCTGTTTTTATTATATATGTCCTGTATGTATCTCTATTATTATAGAATTATAATATTGTGCACATTCCATATTCTATTTTATACAGTATATTTCAAATTTTGTTATATACTTTCTCCACCTTCCCATAGCAACCTTGTAATTATCTTTAGTGGCTACATAATGTCACCATGTTGGAATACTGGTTATCACACACAGTATCACCCATTTTTCATAATAGATATCATTGCAATAAAAAGGCTTACTTCCATATAACTAAAATAAAATAGACCATGCTGACCATCTGCAGAAATCACCGAATGCCTGACTTGAAAACGTGTTTCCAGTGACACCCAGGGTATCACTCAGATTGCATCAAGTGAACTGAAATGTACCCCATGTACGGTCAGCTGTTATCTAATCACATAATGGCAAAATTCTGGTTGTCAAAGAGAAGCGTGTGGTCTTTCTGGAGTTTCACAGAAGGGGGAGAGGGCGCACGACTCCATCACAGCTGAGAGCGAACACGCACGGCCCCGCCCTTCGGCAGTGGCCGAGGAGGAGCGCAGGGCTCTCCCGTCAGCGCCTAGCCCAGGTCCCCAAGACAGCTGGCACACTCCTGAGCGAGCGGGGGCTCATCACACGGGGTATCGGGAACTCCCCCACTTTCCACCCTTTGCACCTTTACCACTGCTACCTTTGTGGGGAAGCTACCAAGAGCCAGGCACCACGCAGTGCACCCGGGGTGTGGTTCACCTCAGTTAGTCTCATCGCAGCTCTGCCCACGCAGTCGGGACTGTTGTGACCCTGGCTTACGGGGTGAGGGTGAGGGTTGGAGAGGCTGAGCCACTTGCTCAGTGTCACAGCTGCTGCGTGGAGAAGCCAATGGACAAACCTGGTCTGTTTGGCTTTAAAGGCCAAGACCATAACCATTACATTCTACTACCCGATTCCCTGACAGCCTCCGGAGGTGTCCCAGAGAGCGACAAACACCTCCTCTCTTGCAAGGCATAGCTCCCCTTCGCCCCCACTCCTCACAAATGAAAATGCTGAGCCCACTAGTGTCAAAGCCCATCGCTTAGGCATATTTACAATTCCTTCCCTGGGGTTTGCCCATCGTGAATCACAATACTGAGATGAACCCTCAACTGGAGGACCAAACATTGAACACTCATTAACATTCGTACATTAATTGCTACAGGTCGCACCTGGAACCAAGCGTGGCCCGCAGGCAGGTCTGTGTGGCCCACACTGCTGTGCTGCACTAGAAACTGCTCACTCCGTCACGTGATCGGGTTTGGTGGAAGTGAATCTCCTTCACTGTCTACAGAGGCTTGTTTTCTGGTTCCGGTTTCCAAGAGTCTTGCCCATGCCTCGAGCAATCAAGGGAAGCCACCGAGCAAAGTGTACCTGGACTTACTATCTGTCGTAGGAACACAGAGTTGGAGCTGAGAGTCACTGAGCTTGGAGACACTGTGATCCGCACCTGACAACATTTCACAGGTCCGTGACCCTTCCTAAAGGTGAAAGATCCGGCTTTACAAATTGCTACAGGAAATAAGGTCACTCAGCTCCTGTTCTGACATAAGGATAAATCTCTCCATTCATCTGAAATCTGAGCAGTATGACTTAACCACACTGACAACCTTGGGAAACTGGTTTGGGCTTCCTGAAAACCAAAATATGCTGCAATCCAGTTTATTCATATTAAAGGTCACCTGTCAACTCCCAGTGACGATATTTATTTTTTCTTAATAATTTCTTATATGCGCTGTCCTTCAAATCCCACTTCCTTTTTAAAGAAGTTGGCTTGTCAGTTTTTTGTGAAGAACAAATACATGTATGTATTGTAAAGTGGTAGACTAAGGACAGCACTTGTTATTAATCATCACACAACCACACATGTTTTACCTTCTGGGTCTGTGTGAACTGTACCGGCCCAGCGGTCACTCACTCTTCGGATTATAGTTCATTGTGTGGCAATCAAGACCTCACTAGAGTAGAAGCTGCTGTTTACCATAAGTTCATTTATTCACTTAGCAAGTATGTAATAAGTATACATACTGCATACCTAGCATGTGGAAGCAAGTATCATATGATGAAGTTACCTACCTTCCCTACCCCACTGGCCAAAATGACATGGCTGTCCCTCACTGCAAGGGGCACTGGAGATGTAGTCTCTATTTGAGACAGTCACATGGCTAACTAAAAATTCTACTAATATGGAAGACAAGGGTACTGGGGAAAACAGATTCCATTGCTGATAAGCAATCACCACTCAGATCCAGGAAATTTCTGCCATGTGCGAGTGTGGATCTACTATTGATTGCATTGATTATTTAAAAATATAAGGCAAGACCAGTGGAACAGAACAGAGAACCCAGAAATGGACCCAAGGCAATATGCTCAATTAATATTTGACAGAGGTGGCAAGACCATACAGTGGAGTAAAGACAGCCTCTTTAATAAATGGTGTTGGAAAAATTGGACAGTTACATGCAAAAAAAAAGAAAGAAACTAGACCAGCAACTTACACCATACAAAAAAATAAACTCAAAATGGATAAAAGACTTAAATGTGTCCTGTGAATTCATAAAAATTCTAGAAGAAAATGTAGGCAACAAAATTTCAGACATCATACGCAGCAGAATTTTCACTGATACATCATCTAAGGCAACAGAAACAAAGGAAAAAATGAACACATGGAACTACATCAAACTAAAAAGCTTCTGCACAGCAAAAGACACAATCATCAAAATGGAAAGGCTACCCACTGTATGGGAGAACATCATTGCCAATGATACATCAAAAAAGGGGTTAATTTCCAAAATATGTAGAGTACTCATACAACTCAACAAAAGGAAGACAAAGAACCCAATTAAAAATGGGCAGAGGAGCTGAATAGACACCTCTCCAAACAGTACATACAAATGGCCAAGAGACATATGAAGAAATGCTCATTGTAACTAATCATCAGAGAGATGAAAATTAAAACAACAATGAGGTATCACCTCACACCTGTCAGAATGGCCGCCATCAACAAATCATCAAACTACAAGTGTTGGGGAGGGTGTGGAGAAAAGGGGACTCTAGTGCACTGCTGGTGGGAATGCAGACTGGTGCAGCCACTATGGAAAACAATATGGTGCTACCTCAAAAAATTAAAAATTGAACTCCATTTGACCCAGTGATCCTACTCCTAGGAATATACCCTAAGAAGCCTGAAACACCAATCAGAAAGAATATATGTACCCCCATGTTCATAGCAGCACTATTTACAATGGCTAAGATCTGGAAATAGCCCAAGTGTCCATCAGTAGACGAATGGATAAAAAAGCTGTGGTACATATACACAATGGAGTACTATGCAGCTGTAAGAAAGAAAGATTTCTTATCCCTTGATACAACATGGAGGGACCTGGAAAGTATTATCCTAAGTGAAACAAGCCAAGCAGAAAAAGACAAATACCACATGATCTCACTTATATATGGAATATAATGAATATAACAGTCTGAGGAATAGGGTAGACCCAGAAACACGAAAGTAGGGTACAGACTGACAACCCTCAGAAGAGGGGGTGGTGGGGGGTGGGAAGAGATAAACCACGGAACTTATATGCATGTATGCATAACCAATGGACATGGACAACAAAGCCGGGGATGGGGCAGGGGGGGATGGGGAGGAGGGTATCAATGGGGTAAAAAAGGAGAAACAACTGTAACAAAAATAAAATTAAATAAATAATAATTAAAAAAATAAGGCAAAATCCCAGAGCTTTATGTAAGATATCTGAATTTTAAAATCTTGCCTCAACCAAAAAGACAGAAATAAAAACTAAAACATTGTTCAGGCCATATAAAAAATACCAGCAGACTACCACTAACACTTTGTAATTTCTGATATAAATTCTTAGTAAAGAATGGAGAGGGAGCCCTGGATGGTTTGGCTCAGCGGTTAGAGCATCAGCCCACAGACCAGAGAGAGTCCGGGTTCAGTTCCCGCTAAGGGCACGTACCTCGGTTGCAGTTTGTCTCCAGCTCCAGTTGGGGTCGTGTGTATGGGTGACAACCACTTGATGTGTCTCTCTTACATCGATGTTTCTCTCTCTCTCTTCCTCCCTCTCTCCCTCCCACTCTATCTGAGGATAAATGCAAAAGAATGTCCTCAGGTGAGGATAAATAAAATAAAATAAATAAAATAAAATAAAATAAAATAAAATAAAATAAAGGATAGGGAGATGCCTTCTCAGCTTCTTAACCTGGTTTCCAGTTTTAGAAAATTTATTAACGGTGCAAAATTGTCAGTAGTACATGAATAAAAGAGACCCCTAAGTAATTTTGACAAATATGGAATCTGGACCAACTTTATTTCTTTGTGTTATAAAAATGTTCCTATTGCTCCTCCAGATCTGGTTATTTGTGCTGTTACAAAACATCCTTTCCTTGTGAATCTAAGACATTGCTTTCCTGTTAGA